CTGCATGCAATGGGGCTGCACGCTGCATGCAATGCAGCTCTTCACCACGAACAGCACTGCAAGCACCAGGGCGGCACACTGCAAGCGCTGCAGCTGCACAACACAAGCAACCACAGCTGCACGCTGCAACTGCCAGCGCTGTGCACATTGCACTCTGGGGTCACGCACCGCCAGCAATGGGGCTGCATGCTGCATGCACCGCAGCTCTGCGCCGCGAATGGGCCACGCTCCGCAGCTCTGCACCGCAACCACGCAATGGGGCTGCACGCCGCATGCGCTGTGAATGGGCCACGCTCCGCAGCTCTGCACTGCGACCACCAATGCTGCACACAATGCGCACTGCAAGCAGCAGGGCCGCAGGCTGCACTCGCCGCAGCTGCAGGGCGCACGCCGCGTTACCTTCTCCTGCAGCAGCTGCTCGCGCACGGCGGCGCAGTCCGCGATGGGCGCAGCCTGGATGCTCTCCTGGCGCAGGCGCGCCTGGCGGATCCACTCTTGCAGCGCGTCGCAGCTCTGCCGGTAGCTCTGCATGCGCCTCCCCAGCAGCTGCAGGTCGCGCAGCCGCAGCTCCATCTGCGCCAGCGCCGCGTCCCAGCGCCGCAGCAGCGCCTCCACGCGGTGGCCGTAGCGCTGCAGGTCGGCGTCGCGCTCGCTGTGCCCGCGCTCCATGCGCTCGTTCACCGCCCGCGCGCGGCTCAGCTCCTCCTGCAGCGCCGCAAACGCCGCCGCGTGGCCGTTCGCCTGCGAGCGCAGCCGCTGCAACGGGGGGTAAAGGGTGAGATGGGCAATGCGGCCCATAGGGACACACTGAGACCCATAGGGACCCATGGGGACACACTGAAACCCATAGGGACCCATAGGGACCCACTGAGACCCATAGGGACCCACAGGGACCCACTGAGACCCATAGGGACCCATAGGGACCCACTGAGACCCATAGGGACCCACAGGGACCCACTGAGACCCATAGGGACCCATGGGGACACACTGAAACCCATAGGGACCCATGGGGGCCCACTGAGACCCACAGGGACCCATGGGGACACACTGATACCCATAGGGACCCATAGGGACCCACTGAGACCCACAGGGACCCACTGAGACCCACAGGGACCCATGGGGACTCAATGAGACCCATAGGGACCCATGGGAGCACACTGAGACCCATAGGGACCCATGGGGGCCCACTGAGACCCATAAAGACCCATAGGGACCCATAAAGACCCACGGGGACCCACTGAGACCCATAGGGACCCATGGGGGCCCACTGAGACCCATAGGGGCCCATAAGGACCCACTGAGACCCATAGGGACCCATGGGGACCCACTGAAACCCATAGGGACCCACAGGGACCCACTGAGACCCATAGGGACCCATAGGGACCCACTGAGACCCACAGGGACCCATGGGGACACACTGAGACCCATAGGGACCCATCGGGGCCCACTGAGACCCATAGGGACCCATAAGGACCCACTGAGACCCACAGGGACCCATGGGGACACACTGAGACCCATAGGGACCCATGGGGGCCCACTGAGACCCATAGGGACCCATAAGGACCCACTGAGACCCGTAGGGACCCACAGGGACCCACTGAGACCCGTAGGGACCCATAGGGACCCACTGAGACCCATAGGGACCCACTGAGACCCACAGGGACCCATGGGGACACACTGAGACCCATAGGGACCCATGGGGGCACACTGAGACCCATAGGGACTCACTGAGACCCATAGGGACCCATGGGGGCCCACTGAGACCCATAAAG